TCCATCAGTTTCTCCCTGCCATTTTTTTGAAGGGTCAGATTGATCGATCAACTACAGATATGTGCACATGTACGTGTGGTGTTTTCGTCAATTCACTGTCTGTCTGTCTGTGTCCGTCTGTCTGTGTCTGACTGTCTGTCTGTCTGTGTGTCTGTGTGGAACACTTGAGTGTTGGAACCAGGCTGAAATCAGAACTAGAAATTTTAGAGAAGTTAGTGACATGCAACCCAGTGATTTAAGAAATGCAGTTGTTTTAGGAACCTGTTAGACAAGGGTTAATCCTTATCAGAAGGTTGAGCCTACAGAGAAAGCAGAATTCTCAATCTAAATTTCTTGTTAGAAGAACATTGATTATATTATTAACAGTTGAAATCCTTTTTGAACTTAAGAATCTTGTACTGTCTAGAAGAGCTATGGAACTAGAGCCTGAAACTAAAGTGAAATAAGAGTTCAGAGAAAGCAAGAACTTGTCTTACAAGCCTCAGCTAACTTTTATGAAAAATTTGTAAGAGGCAGTTTCCCTTTTTCTCACAGAACCTAGCAGGTCTTAGATACGGAGATCTCAGGTGCTAGCCAGGCCTGATCTTTGGGTTGCAGATTCCCAGCTCTAGGCAGGCTAGTCTTTGGTACGAGAGTGGAGAGAGGATTGGAATAAACTGCAACTAAGATCAAGCAGCCTGGCCATAAGGTTTCCTTCCTTTTCCTGCCCATCTCCATCTACCTCCCTGGAGTGGGGGAAACTACAGAACGCTGGCGGTGGGAAAGATAGATTGTTGCCATCCTTTTTGTGCTCACACAACAATTCAAATATTTTCTTATGCTGATATCAAAGTTTGGTTAAAAAAAATCCAAAGGGCTTTTTCTGTGTCTGAAAGCATGTTTGTATTTCTGTGGAATTGTTAAAAAGTATCTGGTGTAGAAAGCTCATGATTTTAAATAATTAAGGTACAAGAACTATTGGAATTAAGCCAAAGAAGGTTTTATCATGTTTTATAAAAATTGATTGTTTATAGGTCTTATGCTGTTATGTTAATGTACATATTTGTATCTGCATTGGATTAGAATATTTGACCTAGAAAGAGTTAAAATAACTATGACACATTAAAACTGGTTTAAAAGTAATGGTTTAGTTTAATCATGAGTTTCTAGAGTTATAAAATTGGTTACAAAGTTTGTCCTACCAGTGCTCTATCTGATCTCTGAGACTCTTGGTAACTAAAATTTCTAGGGCTACTTAGTAATAAGTTGTATTGAATTAGTCTCAGATGTCAGCCTGACAATTTGAAGCCATAGCATTGCTTGTCTAGTGCTTGAAAGTGCATGCTATTATTTTGATAATTTTATTTTATGCCAAGGTTTGTCTCCAGGTATCAACCTAGCCCTGACCTGAGATGCTTTCTGCTTCATGGTAATATATGAGTGTTTTAATCTTTTTGTATTTGTGTTTTCCTCTAAATCAGAATTTTAAGATGTCTCCTGGTTAGTTTCTAATGTAAAGTGATCTTTTGCCCAGTGGATATACCTTGTAAAAGCTTTAATTGTGAGCATTTTAAAGCATTTTGAATATCTATGGAACTGATCTAATGCTTTTGAAATAGTACTGCAGAGTACAGTTTTGTCATGTTAAGTGAGATGGTTGGTAACTTGTGTCTAAATTTGGGAGATCACATTGTACATTGTACTACTATAGATGTATGCCATAAGTCAGAAAGATAATGGATGGAGATATCGTCAGTGGGAAGAAAGGAAAGGAATTCTGTTAAAGTGAAATTGATTTTTAAATGAATGAAAGTTACAGAATGTATGTAAAGGAATGTGTAGAAGGTTTGAGGTTGTTCTAAAGAAAAGAAACTGGTCAAACTGTTATAAGAAACGCTTTAAATCACATGCAGAATTCTTCTAGCACCTTTGTGGTAAGATCTATGGTAAAGATGATTGATGGATTATCTGGACTCCTGTTACAGTGCTCTTAAGATCATTGAATTTTTCAAAAGTTGCAGAAATCAAGGGTTTTGACATGGGATTAAAAACATGTTAAACGGTATGCTTTATCTCTACAGATTTTAGCTTCTCTGACTAGGACCCACAGCAAACAGGTGTATTACATCTCTGTGAGTAAAGTGAAATACTTGCTTTTCTCTTCTTTTGTACCTTCAGTATATTTTTTGATGTTTCATGGCACTATGTTGGTTTGCATAAATCCAGATAAGTCTTTCCTCTCTGTAATAGGGTCTACCCCTCATGCAGACAGGAAAAACCAGCCATGGGACCCCAAAGCCCTCTTCCAGGGAAACAGTCAGGGGATCTGTCTAAATGACAGGAGCAGGGATTTAACAGGTACTGTTTCAAGAACCCTACAAACCTCAGAGCGACCCTAGAGGCAGGCTGGCTCGAGAAAAGACTGGAAACCATCACTGCTATGGAGAATGAGGAATCTAGGACTCTGCAATGACTAACTCAGTCTGGGCCTACTCTCAGCGTCAAGGAAAAACCTGGAAACCAGGATTTCTCCCAGCCCTGAAGAAGGGATGGGATGGATTCCTTTCTGCCAGGACATCTCTGTGGAAAACGAGGACCAAAGCCACAACCCAAGGGCTCGAGACATCGCGGGACATCTTCTGGCCAGGCCTGGGTAGCTCTGACGTGCCAGATAAGATTAATGAAGATTAATGCCACTATTGTTGTGTCTCCTGTCTTTAGCTGATCCCCAGGACTTCTCAGTAAATAATTGGGTATCCCAAATGGAGAGTTCTCTAATCTTACTGTGTTTATGCAAAAGAACAAGCCAGGTTTGTTAAACTATCTTGCAACGTTTTAAAATGAAGGTGGAGAGAAAACCGTGTTTCTGTAACTTGCTTTTTGTAAGAATCAGATTCTAATTCTACAGAGGTGATTGAATAAATGTATTCTAATCTTGATCTAAAAGGTACCCCCTTTGGGGAAATTTAGATAAAACTTAGTTTACTGTCTGTAGGTAAAACAGCCTAATCTGTAAAGGGAACTCAATATTATACATGCTGTCACTAGTCTGATACGAGCATTGAAAGCCAGAGCTTTACTAGGGTGAAGCTCATCTCAAAGTGCAGAATTGCTTTCCCCCGGTCTGAATTGGCCAAAGTGTCGAGAAAGGCATCTAAACTGGTCAAATTAGAGTAGATTAATATCTAGTTCTAAAATACTGTGAATTTTCTTTCTATACTTTATTGCATCTCATTTTCTGTGAACAGTCATTTGGAGAGAACAAGAATATTATCAGCTCTTAATTTCTGTTGCATCATGGGATTAACAACTCCTGAACCAATGCAATGGAATATTATTAAAGGGTTATGTTTTAACACTAGTGAGAACCATCTTCCATGGGGAGGAACTGAACAGCAAGTAAGATAGAAGTAATTCAGAACTGTGCTTTCTGTGCCATTAATGAACCTAGTGGAAATCCTGAGCCTCCTCTCCTAACACCTGTTCAGCATCAAGGAACTTAGAGGTGAATCGGCAGCTTGACCTTATACAAATGATCAAATGTTCATATGTTCAAGGTATAAATATATGTTGGTTCTCATTGATAGCTTCAGTATATGGGCAGAAGCTTTTCCAGTCTGTACTGAGAAAGCCAGAGAATGGCTTGGTGTTTCTGTGACCATTAGAAAAATCTGAACACAGGAAGTTATATTATCAACCAAACCTGTTTGTAGAGTTAATCCTTTTCATTGTTTTAATGATAGAGATGGGTATGGCATTATGTTGCTTTGGTTTCTGTTGCTTTAACTCCTTTTAAGACCTCATCGAGAAATCTCTCACATCCCTGTTCGAGATAGTCTCCCAAAACCTGAGAGGACTCGACCTTCGACCTGTTGTTCCTCAAGAACAGAGGGCTTTGCTCTGATCTGGTGGAGGGATGCTGTTTCTACGCAGACCACACTGAGGTTGTCAGAGACTCTATAGCCAAGCTACCGGAAGGCCTTGAACGACGTCGGAGAAGCCTGGGAGAATTGGTTTGAGTCTTGAAGATCCTCCTAATTCGGGGCAACAATACCGGACTCTACCCACTGAGGGAAGCTACTCTTAACCACGGGTCCTTGAATTAGGCCCCAACCCCCCCACGATCTCTAGGATTAGAGATGCTCATGAAAAGAAGTGGGGAATGAAAGAATCCACATTAGGGCATCAAATTTTTGTGTACTTTAGCTAACTTGCAACATTGCTTTCTGTAAAACTGCTTGGCTGCTTTGCACCTGGGGGAGAGGGGACTTGCAAAGTGAACAGGGCATAACTTCTTTCTACAAGATTCAGGTGTATTTACTGTCCCTGAAATGTATTGTCTCAGTAAAGCACCCTGCAGATTTGGGTAAAGGCTAACTCAGGATGCTGGTGGTTGGGGGAAATTGCCCTTTCCTGGAATGTATTGTCTCACTAAAGCACCCTGCAGACTTGGGTAACACGATGGTCAAGGGAGATTACCTAAGGCTTAATGATTCCAGCTATAACCTTGCTTGTGCTGACAATCGATATACGTAAATGCTGATCTTTGAATCTATAGGCTAAGGAGTGAGGTACTTTTAAATGGATTGGTTAAGAAAGTATATGTTGTTACAAATCTATTGGCTATGAAATGCGCGGGCTTTGCTGTAACGGCCAGTGAAGGCCTATATAAGATCCCCTTTGAAGAAGTTCGGGGCTCTCAGCCACTGCCCATTTCTGGGGTATGCTGCGGAGCCCCAGCATGCTGGTCTAAATAAACCCCGTTTTTACTCCTGCAGGAATTGTGTCTATCTGGTCTCTCCGCGCCTCCCAGGGCCAGGGAACTCCCGATCCCAACAGAACAAAGTAAGGCATTTTGATATTTTGATATAATTAGATCTCTCTAAGCTTAGCTAAACTGATACTGTCTGAAATAAATTGATTTTGTACAGAAAACACCCGAAAAACAACCTAAAACAGTCTCAACTTTTCAGTGACAGTTTGATGCTTTGGAATTTTAATGCAGTAGCAAAGGTTCAAATTTAGGCAAGCTTAGAAAGGTCTTCATATTGAATTCCTTCAACTCTGTGTCCTTTGAAAGGGCCGGTTTCAATGACCACAGCAGCTGAAAATGCCTTCTCATTTATGGATTCCAGGGTACCTTCATTTCCTCTGTAGCTTCCGTTTAAAATTAGAATTCTCTTTCCTGGCGCAGGAATGACCGTTTCCAAGTGAGTCTGGTCCAGTTTCAGCTTATCCCCGGAGTGCATCATCTTCACCACAGCTGTGGACCCGTCAATCACTTCTTTTACAACACCCTTCTTCTTGTAGTATTTATCGCCCAGCTTTTTGGTGATGATTTTCACAATGATTTCCGGCTGTAGCCAGTAAGCTGTCCGGGAACTCTTCATTTCAATCTCCATGATTTCTTCCAGGGCAGACTTCTTCTTGGGCACAGCTGAGCTCTGCGAAGATTGTTTCCGCTTGAGGGATGCCACAGGCCCTAGTGTGGCCAATGCACTTGGTCCCAAAGGGCTGATTTTGGAGGTGATCACCGCTGAGCTGCCCGCTCCCTTATTGAAATCAAAGGTGACTCTTTCTTCATTCTCTCTGCTTAATTCGGTAAAAACGGGGCCCTCCTGCTCTTTTCCCGCCAGACCTCTTCTCACTTGTTCTTCAATGTATCTGGCTGTTTCCTCCTCCTGGTCAAGACGCTGCTTTTTCTTTAGTTGCAGCTGCCGCAGGACTGCTCTTGGGTCCCTGTCAATATACCGAATATACCAGCCTTTGGGGGTCTCCTCCACTTTGCACAGTCCTTCCCTGCCCAGCCATTTGGTGAAGTCGGTGAGCGTCTCCCAGCGGGTGGCATTCATGTGGAGGTGGTCCCTCTGGCGGATGTACTCGTTGTAGGCGACGTTGTTGTGGACCCTCTCGGTGCCAAAGCGTCTCCGGAGCAGCCCGAGAAAGCCGTCTCGAAATTCCTCCGAGAAAGAATCCACGAACTGCTGAGGCTGTTCTGCGGCCAGCAGGAGCTGTCGGTGGTGCGATTCGGACATGCAGTGACACTTGAAGCCGTTCTCGTCCCGGCACTGCTTCTGGCACATCTGGCAGTACCAGCGCAGCTTCTGAAGCCCCTTGGATTTCATCCGGTTGGCGATGGCCTTCGGGGTCAGCGAATCCGGCTTGCCCATCGCGACGCCACTCCGGGGAGCACCCGCACCTGCACAGCTGGAAGTAGAACTGGCTGATGGGGCTGCGGGTGCCGCTTATATCAGCGGCAAGCTGCAAGGGGTGGAGCCCCCACCCCTCCCACTCTCGCGAGACTTTCCTGTGCGAGCCGGGCCAGGCATGCTTCTGCGCCTGCGCACTGCATCCCGCACGGCCCGTGGTCATTGAAACTGGCCCTTTCAAAGGACAGAGTTGAAGGAATTCAGTATGAAGACATTTCTAAGACAACTGTTCAAGCGCCGGTTTCTCCAACTGGCCCATGGGGCAGATAGAAGGTGGAAATGCTGCTACCAAGCCTTCTGTGTCTGTAACTGGCGCTCTTAGCCCAGAACCAGCTTCTGGTCTCTGCTCGTTCTGTTCGCTGCCGTCCTCCCTGCCACCCGATCAGAGCGAAGCTCCCACTGGGTCCACGTTGCTGACTGTCCAATCTCCCTGACCGATGGTCCTGTTCCCCGATGGTCCTTTTCCCGGGCCCACGCGGGAAACCAGTTTCCATTCTGCCTGGGTGTCTTTATGCTGAGGGCTGCAGGAGCCTTCACAGAACTCTAGCCATCTCGGTCCCGACTTCTAAGGCTTCAAATGCTTCAGAAAGTTATAAGAAACACTGGTGAAAGCCAGATGGAAATTCAAGAGGTAGCCCAGTGGTTAGGGCCCAGCTCTGTGCCCAACCCCGGTTCAGTCCCCAGCACCAGGGAGTTTCACAGCCTCGCCAGGTGCAGCCCTGACAGCTCAGTGGTCGTGGGTGGTCGTGAACCCTGGCAATGAGCCGCTGTCCCAACTGGTCAAGTAATTCTGGGGATATCCCCCAGGCTTTGGGAGTGCCCACCTTTTTTTAAATCGAGATGTGTTTTCCAGCTTAATGTTCCTATTAGTATAAAGCCAAAAGAGGGGGTTCCTACAATAACTCCTTGCAAACAGCTGACCAGGTTTGCTCTTTCCTGAGCCATGAAGTGAAGTTCTGGGGCTCCTTTACTCATTACCCTCACCTGTGCTTCCTCAGGTCACAGCAGTGAGAAGCTGGGAGCCTGGCAACTTTTATTTTTATTTTTGGTATTTCTATGTAATTTTGGGATAAAATAAAATTTGTAAACAAACACCTGCTTGTCAAATGTAGGGAGGCCTTTGCCTTAATGTAGCATTACATTGACATTCACAAAACATTCTCACGAAAATCAGTATACAGTACAGCTCTTTCACACACACAATTATACATACACACACAAACAATATGTATAAGTAATAATTTTTCTACCTATACATATTCCTCTGGTGGGAAACGAGAAAACCAGGTCAAAGCTTTGGTATATTCTGCAGCCTGTTTAGGTGATAACCAAGGCCTAGTAAAATTCTCTGTTCAGGGGTTTGTCCCTCCTCCCCACCGCCCCGCCCTAAACAAAAGCATAAACAAAACCACCTGGTCCACAAAGCCTAACTCTATAAATAAAAGCCCTGTCCAAAAGATAACAAGTCACATTTCCCCTCTAACCAAGAAGTTTAAAAGTTTCCCAGGCAGCTAGTCCTTAAAGCACCACCAAAAGCCACACTATTTCTACACAACACGATACATTGTGTTGGTGAGACTGTCCTGAAAACATGCCTGCAAGCATGTGATTATTGTGCCAGAGAAAAGTCCACCCAAGTCCATTTCTTTTCTTAAATTTTTATTAGTGAAACACCATGAGGTACAGTTGTAGACTTACAAATTTTTGTGCTTGGGTTCCACACCGTAACATAAGCTGGTTAGGAGGAACAGAGGGAAGGCTTAAGGCAATGAGAGGCATCCCAGAGAGCACCCCACCACGGTCCTCCAGTCAACCCCACAGCCTTCAGAGAAGAGGTCTGAGTTTGGGTTGTGCTTTTTTAGTTTGCTAGCTGTCAGATACTCCCTCCTCCTCTTCGTCTTCTCTCCTGCCGACTTCCGAGGTGTGGGAGAACTCGTGCAGCAGAACATACTCTCTGCTGCTGAAGCCAAACTTGAGTACATCCTTCTCCTTCAGTTCGTAGTACCTGTGGGGCTCGATGCGCTGGTTGTTCAGGAATGTCCCGTTGCCCGAGGCGAGGTCAATGATGTAGGGCTTCACCCTGCGGCCCACTGTGCCGTCCGCGCGAGGACACTCCGCAAGTCTGTACTGAAAGACGGCGTGCTGCTTCGAGCAAGAGGGATGGTCGATGGGGATGTCCGCGACTCGGCGGTGGCGGCCCAGGAGGTAGGCGCTTTGCCTGTGGACGTGCATGACCGGAAGCGCCTCCTCGTTCTTGAAGGGGTAGAGGCGCCAGCGCTGCTTGGGGACCCGCGCTTCTGGGGGCTCGCTGTACCTCACCACGACTCCCCGGAAAGCGTTGGCGTCCTCGAGAAGGGCGCCGGAAAGCTCCAAGCTCGGCCTTTCTCGGAGGGGCTCTTCTCCGGCTCTGCGGTGGCCTCCAGGTCGAGGGTCCGACTCGCGAGACCCGCTGCCCGCAGCCCCGGCTTCCTGCTGCCGGCGGTGCTCCCTGCGGCGAGCACCTGGAGGCTCCGGCTCGGCTGCCCCGGCCCGTCCCCGCGCCTGCCCGCGGCCGGGCCTCTCGCTCGAGGGGGTCCTGGGCTGGGGCCGGCCGCGGGGGCCGGCTCGGTCCCGGGTCCGAGCCCGCCGGGGTGCGTGTCCGGACGGCTGGTCGCGGCGCTGCCGAGCCGCACGCTCGCGCTTTCCTCTTCCCGCGGGGTGGCCGGGTCCTCCCTGGCTCGGCGGAGACTCGCCCCCGCGCCCTGCAGGCTTGTTTTTCTTCCAGGCCGGGGACCGGCTCCCGCGGAGCCCGGCCGCGAGGCTCCCCTGCTCCTCCATCCCGTCCTGGCCCCGGTCCCGGTCCCGGTCCCGCTCGCTCTCGGCCTCCTTCCTGCTGAGGGCTCCGTGGCGCATCTGAGGCGAGCGAGGGCCCTTTCGCTCCTCCCACCCAAGGGAAGGCCGGGGGCGGGCCCTGACTTCCGCTTCCGGGGTCAAGGCCTTTCAGCTGCTCCAACTGGAGATGCGCGTTCTTGAGCCTGGAAATCCTGATGTACCCGAGTACGGAATGTCCCGCAGTCCTCCTCACGGGGCTCCTTCATGGCACCTGTGGGCTCATCGGAGCTCCTGAACCTTTGGGGCCGGCAGGACTCGCCGGCCGGGTTGGAATGCTGCAGAGGCAGTGGTTTAGCTCTCCCTGCTAGGCCGCCTGGCTTCTGACCCGCGAGGTCTTCCTCTCCTGCGAGACTAGCTCATCAGGAAACTCTTGAGCTTGAAATGTTCTTCCATCTTGCGCCTGGCCCTGTGCAGAGCTTCCCAATCCTTTGGCGGTCCGAGTATCCCCAATAAGACTCCCCTGCTCCCAGACCAACAGTCAACAGCCCGGGAGGGTCACCCTGATTGCACTACTAGTCATCAGCAGGGCCCCCTTAGCCAAAGAAGAATCCATCAGGGTACAAAACCTGTGCCAACCAGAGCAGGACCAGCACCGATGACTCCTAAGCCGGCAGCTGAGCCCATGAAACAGGGGCGCTCCGTGAGTCCAGACAGGGATCAGAGGATGTCCTATTGGGGGCCCTGAGGGCCGCTGAGCTCAGTGCTGCCTTGGCCAGTGACAGCACGATAGCACGGCAGGAGTTGATGACCTCCCGGGGTGCCACGTGTGACTACACCCCCTTTAAAGGTCCCTGAACCCCTCCATTCCATAGTTACACAAGCCTGCAGAAATGCCCGCTTGCTACTTCCTCCAGAGAGCTGCCAAAATGCCCTGGAAGAGCCTCCCAGGTCCTTCTACCCTCCCCAGCTGCCCTGGAAATAAGAACTGAACAGAGCCAACACTTGCTTCTGAGGGGCAGAGGTCCCAGGCCAGCCAGGGGTGGTGTCAAGTTCGGGGGATATTAGGTCAGGGCGGGAGTGAGGGACTGGCTGAGGTCCCTGCCCTGGAGCAGGGCCCATCATGTGCGGCAGTTCCCATGCCGACCACCTACCAGTATCGTTTTATTGCCTTAATCCCACCATGTCCGGCCAGGGCCAGGCCATGGTCATATATTTCAGTAATGAGGTGTGACAGCAGGGGGCCTGCCCGGGTGCTCAGAGCACACCTACTGGTGTGAGAAGGTCTGAAAGGTGAAGGTCCTAATCTCTGGCGGGGGTGGGAGTGTAAGGGGCAGGGCTATGTGGAGATGGCATGTGAACTCTGGACTGTAACCCTGAGCACTGCCAGGAGCCAGCTGGGAACCCCCATGAGGCCCAGTGAAAAGCTGCTGTCAAAGCCTGAGAACAGAAGACCTATTGCCTCTAGGATACTTTGAGTATGAAAGGGTGTGTCCCTACCCGGGCAAAGCCCTGGAAGCCACACCCACAAATTTCAGGTTACAGAGGTATTTCTGGTGAGATCTTAGGGTGTTTTGGGAATGGAGGGTGGGGAGCCCAGACAGCCACACTCATGATCCAAAACCACCACCATGTAGGCTCATTAAGGGGTCCAGCTGTACTGATTTGAATATTGAAAAGATTAGCTGCAAAAAATTCCCCTGTACACGGCTGAAAACTCCAGGCTGCCACATATGCTCACTGCCCACTTAAATATGCTGGAGTTTCTGCAGTCTGGGCACCACCAAACTATTCAATACTGACATCCCAGGAGGAACAGACCAAATTACATGGGAAGATAGTACAGCATTCAACTGAGCTCAACAAATAAGAGCGTTAGCACAGAAGAATCCACACCCTCTAAGCGTGGTCCCTGAGCACGGAGCCAGGCGTAAGCCCTGAGCACTGTCAGGTGTGGCCCAAACTCCCATCCATCAAAATAAAACAAAACAAAAAGAAAGCATAAAACCAAGGGAGATACAAGCAATAGATGAACTTTGATAAAAAATACCAATTATCTACTGGATGAGGAAAGGTACTGTCGTAAAAGGGGGATGCCTAGATTTCCCTTGTCCCCAGTGTTCAGAGAGAAGGACAGAGAAAGAAATCAATGGGGTAAAGAAGAGAAAGGAAAATCACGGGGAAATAGGCTTCAGGGTTTCAGTTACACTGGTAATATGGGTGAGTGGTATAGCTCTATATCCAAAACACAGACTTAACAAAACTGAAAACGAGCTCTAAACTGCAACTTCTGAAACTTTGCAATGTGCCTGTCAAGTTGACAGGTGGGGATGGGTGGTGGCTGGAGATGGGGTGGGAATATGGGAGCACTTGTGGAGGGAAGTTGACACTGGTGTTGAAATATACCAAGAAATGCAACAATCAATAACTTTGTATGTCACAGTTCGTTAATTAAAAAAATAAAAAGGAACACAGAGGCAGGGTGGGATGGGGGGTGGGAGGGATACTGGGATCCGTGGTGTGGGAAATGGGCACTGGTGGAGGGATGGGTATTTGATCATTGTATAATTGAAACCCAAGCACAAAAATGTGTAAGTCTGCAACTGTACCTCATGATGTCTCACTATTAAAAATTTAAAAACAATAAAATAAAAAGGAAAAAAAAGAATCCACAGACAAGGATTTAATATCCACATGGTGAGAATTTTCAAACTTCCTTTCGGTGTTTTGATGATTGCATAGACATTGAGTTATGGCAAGCAAAATATGTAGTGTCTGCTAAGGGGGCAGGCTTTGGGGGTGGTTGGGAAAATGGAGGGGGAGATTGATGGTGGAATATTAAGTGCCTATAATGAATGTGCCATGCATAACTTTGTAAACTGATGTTTAAAAGGAGGGAGGGGGGAATGTTATCAAGTTGTTGAGTTTTAGGTAAGACATTTTAGAATAGAGAATTAGAGGAAATTCCCCAAATCATGGTCTATCACGGTTTTCCCGTTGTTCATCGATTTGCTCGAGCGGGCCCAGTAACGTCTCCATTGGAGACTTTGTTGTTACTGTGTTTGGCATGAGAAGCTCTGTCCCTGGGTCCGGCGAGCCTGGAGTCCAAGGTCTCAGAGAGTTCCGCTTACCTTGTTCTGTGGGTCTTCAGTTGTGCGTGGGTCTCGGCCGGAGCTGCCGCGCGGGTCCGGAAAGCGTCCTGGAGTGTGGCGACGGCTGGGTAGTGGAAGTAGTGTCCCAGGGACAGAGCTTCTCTGCTTGCTCCCACCACCACAGGTGACAAAGGGATTCTAATCAGGAGCCCCACCCTACCCTGCCCTGTCTGCTTCCATCAACCACCCAGGGATCGAATTGTGCACAGGAGACCCACCCTACCCAGATAAATACCCCACTGGCAGACTTCCACTCTCGACACTACTTCCACTACCCAGCCGTCGCCACACTCCAGGACGCTTTCCGGACCCGCGCGGCCGCGCGACACATCATAAGACACTAAATACCTGTCTTCTGGAATTGTCGTACCATATTTGATAGGGTTCAAATATGGTAACACCTACAAGGGGGATTAGAGGTCACCCCAAAAGCCTCTATACCTCTCGGAAAGACTGGCAAGCTACCGAGAGTATTCCGCCCGCACGGAAGAGCCTGGCAAGCTATCCGCTGTGTATTCGATATGCCAAAACCAGTAACTACAACTGGTCTCATTCACCTGACCCTGAAGGCTTCACCGACATGGCAGCACTGAGAAGGATGAGAAAGGAGAGGCCGACAAAATCTCAAGGCCGACCTAGGCTGCCACAACGAAGGAAGACAAAAATGATCGTCTGTACTTTCAATGCACGTACGCTAGCATCAGATGCATCCATCGAGGACCTGATGGTACAAGCGCGAATGATCAAGTACGACATCATTGGTCTGACCGAGACAAGAAGGCACGAATCTCACCATGCCGTTTTCGACACTGGAGAAGAATTGTTCCTCGGAACATGCGATAAAAGAGGTGTTGGAGGCGTTGGTGTCCTTGTCAACACAAACTTGGCCAAGAGCATTGATTCATTCGAATGCCTAACAACCCGAATCGGACGTTTACATTTGAATAGATGTGGCTCACTGCCTGCAGTTTCTATCTTCGTTGTCTACGCACCAACATCTCATTATGATGAAAGAGAAATCGAGAAGTTCTACATGGAGCTAGAGAAGTTCTATAAAGAAGACCACACCTTCTACAAGATCATTGTGGGTGATTTTAATGCCAAGATAGGACCGAGAAGATCAGCTGAAGAACTTCACATCGGAACCCATGGCCTAGAATGGAACGAACAGGGTGAGAGACTGAGTTCATCATGTCGACCAAGACCATTCATGGTAACTCACAGTTCCAGAAGGCAGAATCTAAACGATGGACATGGGAGTCTCCCGGTGGACGATTCCACAACGAAATAGACCACATCATATTCAATCGACGGTTTTGCCTGACTGATGTCGCTGTTGTCCCAAAATTTCGAACGGGATCGGACCACCGTCTCCTTCGTGCAAAATTCTACTTCACAGAGCGGGGAGAAAGGGCTGCAAAGTTCAAAAAGAGAACTCCCAGAACGACCACCAACTGGGAACTCTTTGGTACTATTGCGGCAACATGGGAAGATGCCATTGTTGACAACATTGACGAGGAATACGATCGACTGGTTCAGCACCTCCATGAATGTGCGAGGAACGCCAAGAGAGAGATAGCCACAAAAAGTCGCCTATCTTCGAAAACTCTTGAGCTAATTCGCCAGCGTGGTTTGGCGCATGCCTCAGGCAACTGCAAGCTAACGTCCGAGCTCGCAAAGCAGTGCAGAGATGCGATCAAGGAAGACCTCAAAGAGAGAAGAGCAGAAGTACTGGTAGATGCGGCAGAAGCCGGGAAAAGTATTCGTAACGCCCGCCTGTCCTTCGCCAACTATAAGACCAAGATGACTGCCCTCCGACGTCCTGATGGATCCATCACATCCTCCAGAACGGCAATGGAGAAGATTATCCATGACTTCTACTCAAATCTCTTCGATAGCCATGTCCACTTGCCGACATACCAAATTCCACAG